GGTCAGCCTTAGGTTGCATATAAAAAGCTCATTTTGAAGAGAGACACGATTTGGTGAAGAGGAAAGATTATCTGAGGTCAGAAGGACGGCTCATTATTTTTGTTGGCTGTTCACTGAACCTGTGCTGTGGGCCCAGCACTGTTGGCTCGTAGAGAATAAAATGGATGGAGTAGGTGCTTGTGGAGCTTACGTTCCAGATGAGTCGGTGTTAAATAAGCACACAATTCTCTTCTCACTAACTGTAATGAGAGCAGGGGAGCACTCATTTAAGCTGTGAAAACAGGGGTGGCCTCTCTGAGGAGCTCACCACAGTTGAGACCTGAAGGAGCAGCAGGAACTTGCTAGAAAAGGGTGGGCAGGTAGAGCGTTTCAGACCGGGAGCAGCACAGGGGAAAATGCTGACCTGGGACGAAGCTGGTTCCTTTGAAGAAATGGTAAAAGGCTGACAGGGCGCTGAGAAGAGACATTCAGGGTGTGGGAAGACCTTCAAATTTTATCCAGTTGCAACAGAAAGTCCCTGAAGAGTTTAAGCAGGAAAGTGGTAGCATTTATAGTTTTAAAATATCACTCTGGCTTTGAGTGGGGAAGAAACAGGCTGTTGGGCGGGCAAGCATGGGGGTGGCAGGTGTGGTTGGAAAGTCTCTGTTGGAGCAGGTGACAGCGAATGGTGACACGTCCTACGCTGGAAGGGTTGGACGCAGAAGGTGCTGGCTGGATTGCAGAGCTGTCCTGGAGGTGGGGTCAGCAGGATCTGAGGATGGAGTTGGGGGGTGTGGGGGTGGGGAAGGATCTAGGGTGACATGAAGATGTTTTGACTTGAGCGGCCCAGGAACTGGAGGTGTTATTTACTAAGACGGGGAAGAAGGGCGGAGGTCCGGATTTGGGGTGGGGGCTCTAGTGCCTGATTGAGACTTCAGGTTTGGGTCCGTTAAGCTTCAGATATCTTCCAGACAGTCAAGAGGAAATGTTGGTAGATGCACACACCTGAGCTGCAGGTGACCGGATATCACACAGAGCATCAGCTGCCATTGGGAACGGATGAGATTACCCAGGCAGAATCAAGGAGAAGTGTCCTGATAGACTGGAGGCAAGAGAGACAGAGGAGCCGCCAGAAAAACAGCACAAAAGCTAAAAGATGGGCGTGATTCAAGACGGAGGAAGCTGTCGACTACGCAGAATACTGCGGAAAAGGTGAGAGTCTGTCTAAGGTGTCTGCTGGATTCGGCAACACGAAAATCACAGGAGAGCTGAGCAGGAGTGGTTCTGGAATGAACAGAAACTGGCTTGAGCTGAACGGGCAGCAGAGGAGGGGGTGGGGGCAGGGTTGAGCTACATTCTCCATGATGTTGGCTCTGAAGGAGGAATAGAGACAGGCAGGAGCGGAAGGAGGGGACGGGCTGTGGCCTCCTAAAGGTTCCCGCGGGCCAGGGTTCCCGCCAGCGGCAGCTGAGACGGCTTCTCTACCACCAGCCTCCTGCAGAGCTCACGAGACAACGCACACGGGCGCGGAGGGAGTGGCAAGGGCCTTTGGCTACTGCAGGCTCCCCCCGACCTCAGCTTCACCTCCTCCATCCTTTACACGTGAACCCCATTTCTTGGTCAAACCTCACTCAGGAAAGCTCTTGGGTGCTGCTGGGACTCTAGCATCCCAAACTGTCCCATCACAAAGGCCTCGAGCCTCTATTGGGAAGCTCCTACATGCTAAGAGGTCTGAGGAAGACCTCTTAGGGCCGCCTGATCCTCTGACCTCAACCTTGTCTTTTCCGGATCATAACGTGCTTGGCCTTCCCCAGCAGACCCCAGCCTACTGTTCGGACCTCACCTCCCACTGTCCTACTTGAAAGCCCCACTCCAGCCTGTTAGCCCCCATAACAGTCCTCATCTTGTCCTACTTCCCTTTAGAATCAGTCCCCCTAGCTGACTCTCGTCCGTCCTCAAGTCCAGCTCCAGCCCTTACACCTCTAGAAAAGCCAGCCGGGTCCCCCAGCCTCTCCCTGGCATCTGTCCCACACTGTTTGGGAGCATGGGCTTTCTCTGCAGGGGTCCACACCCCCGACGCTGAGGAACAGTGAAGCGGCCCACTTACTCCTTTCTTTTCTTTGCTGGTACTTGGGAGGCACCTGGGAATATGTGTTTACTGAGAGGCTCACTGACAGCCGCAGCGGCCCTTCCTCCCGGAGGGTGAGGACTTGCAGCAGCCTCAAGGGGCTGCACTGGCAGCGTTCACGGGGCCAACCGAGAGACGAATGGCTGCCACGAGTACTCCTCGGCCTGGTTTCTGTCGACTCCTCAGAGGAAGTGCCAAGTCACTTGAGTTCAAGTTCAGCTTAAGCTCTGACCTTCTCGATCATCCACTATTTCAAAGGCTTCAGCGGCCTAGCTTTCTTGGAAATGTTGAAAATTTAAACCACAAAAGTTAATGTTTCCTATTAAGCCCAAAACAGAGTTTTCTTGCCGTTGTGAGTTGTGGGTCTCCTCTGGCATTATCCCTTTTAAAATGTTAAAAAGGCAGCTTTCTAACCTAAACCCTCTCATCATATCACGCTTCACGTGTAACAAGTGCATCTCACAGGTGAAAATTCAGCCGGCAGTGTTTTTTCCACTCGAGGTGCTGGCTACAGCGGGCACAACAACCAACAGGCTGCAGTGACTTTCACGCACTACCCGCTCCTGTTAAACAGTTTACTCCGGCAAAGTTTTCAGGGCATCAGCATTTTGTGGAAATTGGTTCAATCCATTTTGAGCCCCTAAGTGGCCTTAAAGACACAGCAATTATCACAGCCATGAAGAGACAGGTGGACGCTAGACACAGATCTATAGTTACATGCTCTACGATCTATAGTTAGTTACATGCTCTGCGATTTCTTGGGGACCATTCTTGCTGCTCTGCATCATCCACATGAAAACGAGAATCTTAAAATACTGAAAGCGGCAGTCGAAAAGGCAAGACTTTTCTCCCCAAATTCCGAAGACAAGAACTCAGTAAGCAAGGGTCAGGGAGTGTGTGTCCCTCAGAGCCTCAGGCCCGGCGCCCATCCACGCCCATCAAAGATGGTTCCAGGGTGGACACACCCTCCCATAGATTCAAGGAAGTTCAGCTAACTTGCATGTCCATTTAGAGCTCACCTCGGCCTCTCCTCAGGTGGGGTATATTTTCCTTTATGGAAAGAATTATTTATGTATTTGCTTTTGATTTGCCAATTTACAAGAAATGTGGGGCAAGGGAGGGCCTTGGCTGTGTGATCATGGGGAAAGTGAGGCTGTCTCTGTTCAGTCCCTCTGGCTTCCTCTACTGGGGCCCCAGACTGCAATCACTGAGCCCCTGGCACTGCCATCAGGACCAGGCCAGGCAGACAGAAGGGAGGGCGCCCTTGCCCTGTCTGGGCCTTTCTCTGACTTGACTGCAAATAATGGGTTTCTAAAAACAACAGCTTTAAGAGACACATGTGTTCAGATATAATCATCCTTTTGAGGGTGTGTCCACTTTGAAATGACGCGATTCACCCAGTATAACGCGTCCCCCGTTTTTCACCTCAAGCTGCCTTCCAGAAAGACAAGCGCATAGGGTGTGGGAGCTTGGGGGACGCTGGCCTTTCAAACACCTTCGCTGGGAATGAGTTTTCTCCAGCACTGAGCTTTTATGCTTGAGAAGTTCAAACTCTCAGTGTGGGGGGTGGGGTGGGGGGAAACAAAGCGACCTGTCAACATTCCATGTAGCATCTATGACGCGAGTTAACTTACAAGCTCTCACGGCGCAATAAAAAGCCTGCAAGCTGCTTCTAAAAAGGTGGCTTGATCCTTTAACATAGCAATTCCCCATCCCACAGTCACTGGATGAACTTTGGGAGTTCTGCAGGTTTAGATTAATAAATGAAACGAGGCTGACTTTCCAGAAAAGAGTTTCCCTACAGGGTGCAGGCTAATTAGGATGCTCTAGACATACGTTGTAACGGGAGGTAGAACGCAGGCCCGAAACCTTTCGGCCATTGTCGTTGCCATCTGCCCAGAGGCTACTTCTGAAAGGAAGCCGGCAGGGAGTTATGAAAATGTAATACATAAAAGAGTCCTGGACGCGACAGCCCCAGGCAGCCTGCGGTTCAGGGCAGGCTGTCGGCCCCTGGCGGCCGAGGAGCCTCCGCGAGGCTGGGTCCGCACGGCTGTCGCCGCGCCTGGCGCGCACCGCGCGGCGCTGCTGAAAGAAGTTGGAGAGCTCCCAGCTCGCCGAAAGGATTCGGCGCTGGGCACCCGGGAATCCCTTCCAGCGCCACATTTAGGCAAGTTCTGGAGTAAGTCAAGACCCTAGATCGACAAGAGACCCATACCTCCCGGAGCACAAGACACACAGCGCGCCGGCCCCGCCGGCCCTGCTCCGCCGGGATGCGCCCGGTGCCTCCCGCTCCCACCGCCCAGCACTCAACCAGAGGGCGCCGAGCCAGAGGGGCGGCTCTGCGGGATTTGCGGTTCCGGACGGAAACGCCTCCAGGCTTCCTGGCCCGGGAGACAAGAGCTCGCATTCAACAGTCGAGGGAACGCGGAGTGCCGCCCGGACGCCCGGGACCTTTCCCTCCAAGCCCGCTCGGGTTTCTCCAAAGGGCGCGCAGCCCAGCCCGATGCGCCCCCGCACTCCACTCCACTCCTCTCTCCACAGGTCCCCCCAAACTCTTCCCGGGAAGCCCCACAAAACACAGACGACGCCCCGAAACTCCCAGGGCACTGCCCAGCCACCCCCACCTGCGTCCTGCGAACCCTCGTGTCGCGTCCTTCCTGCCCCGCACCGTGCTCCTTGCGTTCACGGGGAGTCAGACGCAAAGCGCCAGAACACGCTTCGCGAGGAGCCTCCCTACGCCCGCCCTGTCACTGAAACAAAAGCGCCGGGAGGAGGGAGGCGGAAGGGGGGCGGGAGGGAGGCTCGGCGCGAGGACGGGGAGAGCGGAGAGGGAGCTGGGGAGGCGGGTCGGGCGGGGAGCGGACCCCGGGGCCCCGCGCGGCCGCTCGCTTACATGCCCAGGTCGCTGTAGGTGTTGAAGAACTCCATCTGGTTGCACGCCTGGATCCAGCCCACCACCCAGGTCTCGTGGCGGGGGATGGGGGGCATGACCACGCGGGCCGAGGCTTTGAAGTAGGGGGTCTTGTAGCGCAGGACGATGGGCGAGGTCTCCTCGATGCGCGTGGGGCACTGGTCGATGGCGGCGCACACGTCGTACACCACGATGTTCTCGCGCCGGATCCGCGCCTTGCAGGCGATGCTCTGGATGCAGCCCATCCTGCCGCCCGGCCGGCGCGGCGCGGAGGGGGCAGCGGGGGCCGCGCGGGCAGCCGGGGGGCGCCGTCACGCCGGCATGG